CTTCTCTTCTTTCCCTCCCTTCCCTTCTGTTCCTCATCTTCCTTATTCTATCCTCTTCCATCTGGAGCCCAAAAGTTCCTAAGCACCCTTTTAGTTCAAATCAATAATCAYGAAACACATTTTACCTGTATTTCTAGATGTTATCAAACCATCTCCCATATCAACATCTTCCCCCTCTCCTCTTYCTTGGCTTTTATCCTTTGACATTTCAGAAGCTACAAGGTTCTGTCTTAATGATATTATAGTTTTAACATCAGGCAAGCTTCTGAGGAGAGCTTCTCTGAACATCTCTACAAACGACAAGCCTTGGAAGGACTGCTGTGGTATGGTAGATAGCCTTTCTTTCTCACAGTAGCCTAGTAGGTTGTAAGCTCTTTTCAAGATGAGAACTAGTAAYGTAAGGGTTGTGTTCTTCACTAGCCGACTGGAATGCTTAAAGAAAAAAGTTTGTAAATTATCAACCCTATGAATCCATTGTTTTGTCTGTGTACATGTAACTTAGTGTCTGTCTTGTTTGTGTGTCTGTCAGTCTGTATGTCTGTCTGTTGATCACTTTAGGAAATTAATCACTTAATCAACATCAGGAGAAGAGCGACACACCATAATATAAAATCTTACTGTTGATTTTAATGTACGGTATCTATTCATGATTGGAATGATTTTATGAAAATGTGGATAAGTGAATGAATAGATGGACAAAGCAATATGAACAGATATACAGTAGGTCAGAGGGATAAATGGAAGGTTGGATGGAAGGGAAATGGATGAACTGGCTGACAGACAGACAGAGGGTAAATTTTATGAGTGGGTTGGATGGGCGGAGGGAGGGATGGATGGATGGATGGATAGAAGGATGAGCAGATGGGTCCATAGATGGCTTCCTAAATGGGTTGGTGAGTGGTTAGACAAATGTTACACAGAATACTCTCTACCTGTATTCCTTGGTTAAGGTTTGCTCTTGTCAGTACCGAAGGTAACACAGTGTTCAGGAGTGGCTGTACTGACTCCTCCGTCAGCCTGATGCTTGATTTCTCAACCATGTCAGATGGAGAAGGAAGCGCTGAATACAACTGATGGAAGTAAAACAGAAACAATTCTATAATTTATTGTAATATTAGAAATTAACAATCGCTGGTGTTCTTTTGTAATCTAAAATGTGTTATTACTTAGATCAGCCCAGAAGTTGTTTCAGGGTTTGATCTGTGAGTTAGCC